CTGTTATAGTCTTTGAGAACAGCTATGGTTTCATTACAAATTAAACATAGCGCCTTATTACTGGACTCAATCACAAAATACTGAAAGTTCCATTTTTCTTGGAACGTTCTGCATTCACTGTCGATTTTTCGCTTCTTTTCCATACTAACAAATCACACATAAAAACAATAAGTCAAACCAAAATACTTTTATTGACGGGTGTTACTTTATTTTACAATAAACAGTTTCGCTGCCTTCGAATTTCCTACGCAGACTAACTCGCAGTTGCGCTGCTAGCCTTTTTATATGCAATTATCACCGCCATCTCGAGATGCTATTAAGCATCTATGTCTGAACTGATCAGAACAAACGAATGGTGTGATGTTTCTGAATGTACTGACATCGACTCGGCATGTAATTTATTATATCAAAAATTACACAGCCTCTTCTTTCAAACAGTTCCACTGAGAACAGTAAAAACGCGTAAATTTCCCCCATGGTGTGAAGCCGATGTTATCAGCCATATAAAGAAAAAGGAAAGCATAGGCAAGTATAAGCCTAGGGATATTATCAATGGATTCGCCAAGCACTTCAGAAGTGTACACTTGGTTTCGGACGAGAATATGCTTCGTGAGAATTCTCATGGTTCAGATTTAGATACATTAAACATCCCTGCCTTCTCCAAAATCGATTGTTATTGCTTCAAAAAAATTAAGAAATAAACTCAACGCACGCGTTGACAATGTTCCTAGTCTTGTGATAAAGGACTGTATCGACTTTCTCTCTATACCTCTAATAGGCATATTCAACTTAATTTTATCAACTCGTGCCTTCCTGAGCAATGGAAAACGGCTCGAATTTGTCCGATATTAAAAAAAGGCGACTCTAGCGATATCACAAACTACAGGGCAATATTAATTTAATGTAACTTTTCTAAACTCTTCGAGATATGTGTGCAAAATGTTATGTACTCCCATATTCAAAAAGTTATTTCTCCTACTCAGCATGGTCTTGGTGAATAGTACAGATATA